TATACACAAAGTTGTGGTTTAATTTAAAAAAAAAAAAAAAAAAAAAAAAAGCTAAAAATGATGGTCTTATAATCACAGCTATGATAACTGTGAAGACTGACAAGCAAGAGTAAGGAGAGATTGTTTTATGTTTTGTCATTTGTAGGAAGTCTGTTGACTCCTCTTAACATCTCCCGCATCCCCTTTACCCTAAATGTGCAGAGGTGGTAGTAGTCAGTCAAACTGTATGATGTATTCTGGGTAGATCTGATTGCCATCAAAAATGACATACAAGAGCGGAGAAAAAGGATCGTCCACGCAGCTGTCATATAAGTTGACGAGACTTCCGTCCTTCGAGGGCGGTCGGATATACGCCTTGTTTCCTATAGTGTAATCCCCAACAATGACTCTGGCCAGGAACATGGTCTTGTTTTTGAACGAGTGGAGAAAGTAGGGGTTCACCCCGAGCCCTCCCAGCGTCTGGTTGTGCTTGCTGCTGATTTTACAGTTTTGACTGGATAAGGCGGCCTGCTTTGCAAAGTATGTACCTGCAGAGCAAGAAAGAAAAAGAATCAGAAAACACATTTCAATTACAACCAGGATCAAAATGTTACACTTGAATGAGATGTAAACCCAATCACTAAAATCTCATATAAGCTTGAACGTGTTAATGTCATTTCAAAAGTCATTTTCAATATTTTTAAATTATGTGGATTTTATTTTAATAATGACTGGTCACCCTACCTAGAAGGTCCTTTTTTCAGGTCATTTCTATTATATGGAAACACGGTCTCCCAGTTTTGTTCCTGCGTTGTCACCATGTCACATGGACTTCTGAAGGAGACTACAAGTGGCTGTTTCCACAAACAATATGGTCCACTGCTGTCACTATCAACAAACTCAACCTGAAAAATACCTCCGTCACTGGAGCGCAGGTAAACAGAAAGTGGATGCAGCAGATCAGTAGTGCTGAGATGCAACAAAAAGGTGAAAAAAAGCAGCCCAGTATATTATTAAAATATATGTATAGCCCAGTTTTTTTGTAGTTCTGGATAAAGTAGGGAAGCGTTAGAATCCCTGTCAAGCTGTTTTGAAAGCTTCCAATGTGGGCAACTCTTTCAGTGGCAACAATATAGAAAGGAATCCCTGTCACTTTGGGGAGATTTCCTCTTATATTCTGTTGCATTTCAAAAGACAAGAATTTAAAGGAAATCTCCCCAATGGGAAACAGACAGCAACAGAAAAAATACTAATTGGTTTGAACCCTTCCCTACTCTATTCAAAGCTAAAAGAAATACAAAGTTTGGCTATAGTTTATTGTCTAAAGCACACTGCTTTTGTAAACTAAGGTCATTCAGTTAGGCTTTATATCCACTTTACAGTACAACTGTACTTTATTTTTTTTCTTAGTTCCCCCCAGACCCCTGAGTGTTGCCCAACTTGTCCTATTGCTTTCCCAAATGCACAGTACATAGCGGCCATTTTCAGAAGCAAATTAAAAGGAGCAGTAGTAGAGGGATTTAATTCAGCTATAAACACCCACACCATGTTTTTATTTACATCATCTTCAATTTAACTTTTTGCATATAATTTAGACAAGATGGAAGTTGTGATCATTAGAGGACACTTCACTGAATGTAGGCAGCTGTCTTTTTATTCTTCTCTACACAGTAAGGACAGTCGGCATCTCCCTGAACTGACCATACTACTCACATTTGGCTAAATATGCTGCAGATCAGGGGCAGGAAAAGGAAAAGTCTCTGGCCTCCTGATCTGTGAGTGTATGGCAGCTTTAAAGGATCAGTGTGACATTAAAGAAAATCGGTGCTTTGCTTATGCAACAGATTTACTTGACAAAACAGAGATAGCAGTATGGAAGAGTAGATAGATGTCAGCAGCTACGAGTATTGATCTGTACAGCCTTCAAGAGGCAGCTTAAAGAAGACTGAGGCTGGAAGAGCAGAAGGTTGGCACACACAGATCTTACCTTTTCCATAAACAGTGCCACGTATTCCGTTTATTCGCCAGTCAAAGTTATGAATGCATATTGCATTGACAAACTCATTGCCTGTGCCATGGAATAGCATCTCCTCTGCAACATTAGGCACTCCTTTCTTCTTTTTCATTTGAGCTTTTTTCCTGCACAGAACATGAGCAAACAGTCACTGATGTGGTTTATTAAAGGAATCCCAAGGTCCTTATTTATTTAGCTTAAAGGTGAATTCCATGCAGAAAAAGGACAACGGTTAACGCATCTGATGAGACAAGTCAGATGAACTACAGTGGCCCTGTGCTAACAAAGAACATGCTGACAGGAAGAGACAGCAGGGTGACAGAGAGATTAGCACATCAGTCTGCTGCTTCTGTTTCCCTGTCCAATTACAGGCTGGGGGATTAACCTACCCTTTAATTATATATTTACCAGACAAAAAGTAGGCAAATAAGAGGTTTATTGTTCGGATTTACATACACTTTAGAGAGGCCCTTTTGGGGGGAAACTTCTGCAGATATGAAGTGTAAGTACCTAGAGGTGTGCATACCTGCAACGGCCTCCCAAACCTTCTCGCCATGGCTGAATCTTAGGCCATTCTGACAGGCAATTCTTGGGCTATTTGCACAAATCTGACTAATCAGTGAGGCTGCCAGTCCTGGTGATGGGCCATGAGGGTTTAGGGTTTAAGTGGCTGTTTTATATATTTGCAGGCACCTTTTCCTCCAACACGATCTCTTTAAGAGCATATAGCTAATGTGGGTTATACATTTTGCAGCACTGGGATGCAGCTTACCTGCAGTAAAATTCCCACAGGTCCAGATTCTGTATTCTTAGAATCTTTGTGATGCGGTTCTGGTCCATTGACTGTCCGAACAGGCTGGCTACTTCCTTATATTCGTTACAGATCTTGATAAGGGGGATGAGCTGAAAATAGAAAGCATATGCATTGTAATTAGCTAGCAAAACCAAGTACACAAGGGCAGCTACTTTACTGTACTGAAAAATGTAGTGTCTACCTGATAAGGCTGGGCGCTGTTCACGTGCTCCCAGTGGGATGGCAATGGGATTGATCCATTGTCACAGATGTAACTGTTGTAACAGGAAACCACACATAAGTACCAAGTGTAGGTCAGTTATAGAGGATTTTTCACATATACACAACAGTATGTTCAGTGAGTGATTCTGGTTCAAGGGCTTTAGCCCCTCTCTCTTCTTTATTCATCCACTGTGTTTGGGAAAACACAATGACCTGTCTCTTTCTTTGACAGTATAGGGGCAGAGGGAGACCTATTTTAGGACACAATGATGAACAGGCAAACCGGCTTTGGCAGTCGATCACATTAAAACAATTATCATCTGTATGTCTGACTTCTGGCCCCTTTAGCAGGAGCCCCAGAGGACTGAGGACATCTTGTGGTGGAAAAGAAGTACTGCGGGGGTCTGGAGAGGATGAGAAAGTATGGCCCAGCTGTTTTTTTTTCTTTTCAGCCCCAATTTGAGCCTCAGCATCAACTTAAGGTCACAGCGAGTTAGTGGCAGCCATCACACACACACAGCTTGCTTTTCTTTTCCTAGTTCAGTCCTGCTTGGTGTCAACATGCTAAGGAGGATGAAAAGTGATTGTACACAAGAGGCAACATTCAAACCCCCCTCATTATCTAACAGCAGCATGGGGACCATAGACAAAGACAAATTTCAGGCAATAACTGAACTCAATCATTAAAGCGGACCTTTACTCATATCTTTGAAATAACAACAAACACACCTTTAGAAATGTTTAGTAGTAATGACAATCTACAAACACATATTTCTAGATAACTACCGGCTTTGTATTCTTTGCATACCTTATTTCTCTTTTCTTCCCCAGTCTTCTGGCAGTGTCCATGTTTACTAAGGACAGATTCACTCATATCCCTTTACTTCCTGCAACTCTGGCACATGTGACTAGGACATGTGACCATGCACATCATTCCAATTCACCTTGACCTGAGCTCTTGCAAAGCTTTATAAAAGGGACAGTAGGACAGTACTTCTGGAAATCAATATAACCTTCTCTGTCTTTCTCTCTCTGCATCTCCAGTCACTAATGCTTCGAATACCGGTCCGTGTCTGCTTCTGTTTCTATTGAGATGTGTTTACATTACATTACAGGCAAAGCAGATTGAACAAAACCTTTGGCGGCATTTTCATTCTAAAGCATACTTTTCAGCAGCAGAGTGTTTAAATGTAAAAGGTAGCATTTGCACTTTCACATGCCTTTAGCAATTCACCAGCATGCACCACTGATGAAAACTCTATTATATGTGGACTGACCCTTCAACCATTGGAGACATACAAATTATGTATGCCCACATTTAGAATTATCATAAAAGACCAACATGAAATAAAAAATATGTAGCAAATGCAACATCTGTGTTCACCTGAATGCAGAGATTGAAAAAGGGGCTCTTTTTACTGGCCGTTTTGTGCCGTTGCATAAGTTGGTCTGACACATTTCTGCGGGAGAAACAAAAAGTATTTAATAACAAAGGAGGTCATTTTAAAGTAACTATAAATTTAAAGGCGTTCACATGCATCGGGGTCCTGTAAATGAACTGGACTCCACAAGCATTACCAGATATGCCCTGTATTCTACTGGGCTCTTTTGGGAGACCCAATACCACAGTTCCCCTTACTTTGCCATGTTTCAAGACACCATTTATTAAGTAAGCTACAAACAAATATAAGCCTCCATTCACATATAGTGTTTGCGCTTCACGCACGGCAAGCAAAACGCTAAAATCGTCACAACTGCACAGATTCTGCTCGTTTGCAGCTGTTACTATAGCCGCATACGCGCGAAATACGCCATAAAATCGCGCTTGAACTATTTTGCAGGACGCGTGGTTTCGTACCGCGCAGCCATCGCAAAAGTCTGAACAATGCACATTAAAGTGCATTGTTTTTTTATGTTTAGAGCGGTTCCGCGCGTATTCATATGGCCAAATATGCGCGGGCAACCGATCCTCTTTAAATGGAGCCTATAAAATGTAGGCAAAACTTTGGTTGTTTTGCATAAAGAACAAAATTTACTGCCGGCTGTGTCCCGTTGGGGAGATTTCCAATTATGGTGTAGCTAGGACAGGAACCCAGTTTTACATTAGGGACCACACTTTGCAGAAGGGTCATGGTGTGGCTGTGTTGTTTCACACAGATTTGCAAATATATAATCTCCGATGATGAAACTGTTTAGTTAGGTTATTTTTATGCTGACTAGCTGGGAACTGCAATCTGGGGAATTTTTGTACTAATCATTCTAAAACGGCACAGAGGAGATATTCATAACCTGACCCTTCTGTCTATCCAAAAACCTAAAAGAAAAATAATCTGGAGTTCCATTTTAAAGTATCATTTCTTTTATTACAAGCGAAGAGGACTTCCTTCTGGGAGCGTGTATTATAAAGAAAATGTCTGGTTAGCCACAAAAGCTGCTGATTTTGCACTGCTGATACGCTGGCAGCATTAAACTGTGAGGAAGGCAAGTACAGATGCCAGTCTATAAATTGAGGCTGTTCATTTGTTCTGCTTCCACCAACTATTGGTTTGATCATCTGTAAATCTTTTTTTTTTTCCAGGAGCACTTCATACAATTGCTTACCTATGAAATTCAGACGATAGTTGAACTTCATTGTTGAAAATTCTACTGAGCCATGGGGATTTTCTCGGTAATGCTGCTCAACCTGTTGACTTGTTATAGAGCAATACTCGGATGGACTTGACTGAAAGATACCAAACAATAGAGGGCATTGAAAGACAAGATAAAAGCAGGGAGACCTCGTATGTAGCAATGTGGACAGATGGCATTCATTGCGCAACTTGCTGAAGTGGAGCACAATCAGACAAGGAGAAATCTGTAGCCCTAGCCCTATTATTGTGCTTTTTTTGTTTGATTACAGATGTGAAAGGCCAGCTAAATGTTAATTTTATAAAAATGTGTTAACGTTTAAAAAAAAAAAAAATAATCATTCTTCTGGCTCCTCCGCTTTGGATGTGCATAACGCTGTTGCTTTGTTGACAGCTCTTTCTGTTGCATGTACAATAGAGCAGTAGTACTTAAATAGATTGTTGACACCGCTCTCTTAATAGAGGCATGAATGACGGATTTAGATAGGCGATAGGCAAAGTTCTCAAAGGCTATGAACCTATCAAGTAAATATTATAAGTTGTGGTCCGTTGGTTGGATTTCTGTTCCACCTTTCTAGCACCCCTCTCTTTGGCTCTTGAATCCTCTTCTGGAAGGTGAATGGTGTGTTGGCAAGCCTAATGTTTGTTTGTTTTCATCATCTACAGATATGTATATCTGATCGGACTATAAATGCGGTTGGGTTCGGCTCCCCACACAGTTCTACCTAGGTCTCAGCAGCAGCCACTCAAGCAATATATATCAATGTCTGGTCTATATACTGTAATTGTTGTACACATGAGCTGAAGGTTGCTCTTCCCTTTTTTTCCTGTATCTATTGAGATGGTGGCACTGTTTTGTTTTTTTTAAGGTTTCTTCTCTTTTTCTTTTTTAAGTTGCAAAAACGTATAAAATAAAATCTAATTTAGAAGAATGAAAAAACCCAACCTATATAATTTGTAATTATATATCTATAGCCATATGTGCTTCAGGCTGATCCTTTTATTTCGCGGATATGGTCTGTGATTGAAACCAACAGACTCTTCAAGCTCCTATGATGTCAAACATACACAATGCATCAGTAAACTAAAGGCCATGTCATCTTTGCAAAGGCTGGTCTAGGTTTATAATAATAAAAAATTATAACTAGCAAATGTGTTCCCATTTCTTAAACGGGTATTTGAAAATGGTCCACTGTGATATAAGCTCTCTCAGATTTCTACTTCCCACTAAAGTGAAGAGAAAGTAAAGAAATCAAATGTTAGCTGACTCCAGTTAGCTGAGGTCTGATTGGCTGCTGTGGATTACCACCCTCTACACAACTCTGTTGCCAAATGTGCTACTGAAAGCCCGAACATGCATCAAACCAGTTTTAATAAGCTTAAGATACCGGGAAATTATTTGCTCTTTTGGTTGCCAAGGCAATGCTGCTGTAGCAAGAGGAGGGTAGCAGGATGGTATCAAATCCCCTGAACATAATTTTCCATTACCAATGCATAATGCTTAAAGCTAAAACTCTGACCACATTGAAAAGTAACAACGTGGAATTATTAGGAATCTATTGCTGTTTTTCTCTAGGATGGGCTAGCACACAGTGACATTTCCTTTCTCTATGGGGTCTATTCACTATGCTGCCGAGGGCAGCCGAGTGAATGACCGATCAGAAGTGAAGTTGCTCGGCCGTGATCGGGAGCTGTACGGGCTATTGTGAATAGCCCGTACAGCACCCCCTCGGTTCTCCTGAACCGAAGGGGTCCTGGTGCCGAAGCTAGCCGATGAATCGGCCGAAGCTACAGCCAGATCCTTCGGCAGCTTTGTGAATAGACCCCTATGTCTCTGAGACAGACGGCAGTCTGGTCCTTTGCGCTCCAAAGATGGAATGGTTGCAGACGCTCATACCACTCATACCGACAGCCACATCCTATCCCCATGGTCAGTGTGTCTGCATCAATTACAGTCCAGGACTGATAATGTCATCAAGAGGGGTGGCAACAAGCATGAAGAGAAGCTTTGGCAGACCGGTCACCACAACCAAAACTGGAAGGGAGGAAATATGCGGGAACATGGAGTAAAGTGAGTATTACTGTGTGCTAGCCCTTAGCCTTGCTGAATAACATTCTACATAATGGCACACTAACACAATGTACAGTTTATTACATTTACAGTCATTTTACAAAAATCTTTAGTGTTGCTTTACACATTACAATCTGATTGTACACTCCTGCTAATTCTGTTTGTGTACTTTTGTACAAACAAAATTTAGCAATCATTGCCCGACACAGTGCAGATGTGCTGATCCCGGAACATTGCACTGTTTTTGTGTAGATCTTTATTAAATTGCCCCAACTGACATTTCATTCAGTTCTATGGGCACAGCGGGGTGAGAGGCGGTTGTACTGCGCCACATCACGAGTCGCTAAAAATAGTACAGCATGTCATACTTTTTTCAGTGCACACCAATGTGTTCCTATTGCAATGCAGTGGTGTGAACCGATCCCATCCGAGACAAGGCAAAATGCCTGTTGATCTGTGAAAAAATCCAGTGAGCTCAACTTCCTGTAGTGAGACGACAACTCTCCCTTTGCTGCACTGAAACCCCAACTGGTGTTGTCAGACCTGACCAGTTGTTCCCCGTTATTATGCTTATGATTTGGAAATGAGAAGGGGGATGTTCTGTAGTCCAGGAAGCAATAGCCAAGCTGGGTTATAGTATTTGAGGTTGAATAAAGACACAGGTCCATCAAGGTGTGTGTGTGTTCTAGTTGTGAAGAGTACCTGTACCCCTGTATGCTGTGGTCTCTGAGGAAGGTATCTAAATGCTTTTTGAATGATTCATTATTCTTTGCGGATACCACTGCTTGTGGCAGCGAGTTCCAGATTTTAACCGCTCTAACTGAAAAAAGCCCCTACGCCCCTTGTGGTTAAATCTTTTCTCCACCAGTGTTCGGTGGTGGCCTCTAATCCTTGTTACGGAGCTTACAGAAAAAGTTTATTGCAGATGTTGCCATCACCACTAAACATTTTGTAGATCAAAATCATGCCCCCTCTTAAGTCTCCTCACTTCCAGCGTGAACAAGTTTAAATTTAGTAACCTTGTCTCATAGCTTATGTCCTCCAGCCCCTTAATTCGTTTAGTTGCCCTTCTCTGGACTCTCTCGAGCTCAAGGACAACGCGGCTTGGGATTTCAATGCAGCAAAGGTAGAGTGCCCTAGAAGTTTACTTTAAATCTTAATGCATGGGAGCAGTAATAATTACCTCAAACATATGCCATTTACCACATTCTGCCAAATAGAACCATCCCCACTGAGTTTCTGATACATCCATTTCCTCAGGCACATTACTTTTACTGTTAACAGGCTCCGCCACTGGTTGTATTGATAGGTCATGATTAACCTGAAATAGAAATGGAAGAAACATTATGCAATTATGAACACACATTGCATCACCGCATTTCTGTCTGTAACTGCATTCTATTTACTGTGCTACCATTCCAGTAGAATGATTTCACATTTGCTGCAACAGATTACTAATATGTGGATGATATACTGGTGATAGAATACAAAGGGGTCCATTTAAAAAATAAAAATTCACCCAAGATTTTTACACCTTTCAAACTTGGGTTGACGTTGTATGAATCTTGTGTGAAAACCTTTATAAACTGATCCTTCTGTATGTGAAGCTCATCCTCATTCCGCTGATTTCAACAATTAAGCTTGCTGTAAGATGATTGCCTTGTGTTTATACACCTTGCACATGGAACTTCAATACAAAAAATTCATTGAAGTGTTCTCTCCAAACAAACCATTTTTGTTAGCTTTAGACAGAGTGAGGAAAAGGTTATTTATTTATTACAGATATCTATAAAGTGGTGACAATTTACACGCTTTACATACTGCACCTTTAAGGAGCTTGCCCTTAAGTCTCTGCCTTTTAAAAAAGGAGCTTACAATCTAAGGTCACTATCTTACACGCACACACATATAGGGCTGATTTGTGCAGGAGCCAAGTAACCTTCACATGTCTTTGGGGTGTGGGAGGAAACCAGAGGCAAGCACATGGAGAACATGCAAACTCCATGCAGATAGTGCCCTGACTGGGATTTGAACCTGGAACCACCAGTACTGCAAGGTAGAAGTGCTAACCACTAACCCAATGCATCGAGGTTAGAACCTCTGTCAGGTGTTCTTCCCTAAAAGAAGGCCCCATGAAGACATTTGTGCAATACATGCACATTTTCCAATGGACTGCCTCCATCTACAAAGTTGAAAGTATAGAAAAATACCTGCTGATCTGTAAAACAGAGGTTTTGTTAGTTACATACATTTACAAATACTTATAAAGTCACACATGCACTGTGCGCATATTGGTTGGTTCTTGAGGAACTGTCAGAAATTCCTACAGTGAGTGCCGCTGTTGGCACCTTTCCGGCCAACATCCCGCGATCAGCTGAGCAAAAGAGCTGGTCGGAAAATATTCGTACAAAGAGCCGCTGCCGGCTGCTGTCAGCATACAAAAGAAGCAGCGGGGATTCCTTGCTCAACGTGCTCATAGCATTGATGGAGGAATGTGCTCTATTGTTTTCATTCAGCCCATGGGTTGAACAAATAAATAAATAATAGGAGTAGTGTGTGGCCAGCTTTACTCAAAACTAAATCCCCAACTGTAGGACATATATATATAGCCAAGAAGAGAGAACAAGCTCACCTTAAAGCAGGTATATACTCCTTAGAGGCACAGCAACCCACCAGAAGCCTAGACATCGCCTTTGTAGGCAGCTAAAGACTTCCAGTGTGTGTCTATGCCAAACGCAATAAAAGGTTTTTATGATTGTCTGCGTCTTCATCTTCTCTAGTTGTCCTGGTGAGCAATGTCCCTCAAGGTGGCCATACATTGTACGATTTCCGCTCGGAATCAGGAGATTTTCGTTTTTGATATTGTGATAATAATTTTCTGATCGGTCAGGTTGGAAAATTTCTCTGACTGAAATTTTTTTTTTTTAAATGGATGACTCAGTGGGGTTTTTCGTTTATCAAAAGTCTCAGGAAGAACACAGCACATGCACAAAAGGAAGTTATTTCCATTGTTCGACAAAAATTGTAAAATTGTTTGGTTAGTATTGTTGACATGCGATTTCCAAATACGACATTGGACTATGCTTGATAGGGAAGTCTAGGTAATCAAACGAGTGTTCATGTCAGAAATGAAAATCGTTCAATGTATGGCGACCTTTAGACAGACAGTGATAGGAGGTTACTGTACATATACCAGGTTTCCCCGAAAATAAGTCTTACATTTTTTTTGGCTCATAAAAACACGCTAGGTCTCATTTTCGGGTAGGTCTTATTTTTTTATTTTTTTTATGTACAACAATCCACTTATTCATGTACAACAGTCTACATGTACAAAAATATGGTGATCAGGGGTGCTGTACCTTTCCCACAGCAATTTGGTAACCAATCGCTGGCCAGAATGAGCCAAGAGCGCTTTCACTATTGATTCCTCACAGGCGGAGTGCATTCGGTATCACTCCGCCTGTGACAGGAGCCGGCGCTATAGAGGAAGCATTGGCTTACGCGGCTCTGCTGTCTCCGCTGCCACCTCGATTCCTCTAGCGCTGGCTGCGTTGGCACCGCTGATTCTCTCCCGCAGCTCTTCAAGTTCCCCCTTATACTATTTTCGGGGTAGTTCTTATATTTTAGCAATTCCCAAAAATAGTACTAGGTCTTATTTTTCGGGAAAACACGGTATATAAGGGGACAATTTTCTCTCACTTCCTGCTGTGTCCCTAAAATAGGAATTTAGGAGAAATCTCATTGAGGGGGACTTAAAGAAATAAAAGAAACCTGTTCTAAACTTTCCCTACTTCATCCAGAACAATTAAGCATTTTGGCTAGAAGTTTCCATTAAAAAAACAATCCCCTGATGAAGTGAACGTTGCCCCAAGAAACATTTTAAGATATTTCAGAAGAGCTATTGCTGCTACTGATCATGTCACAATGACATTTGCAGACCAGGATTCTATTTATGTCCCAGTATGAAGTCCAGGCTTGTGTTAAAAGGGACATTTTTACAGTTTAGGGTCAGTGCTATATTTATTTTTAAGTGCATCTAAACCCCAATTCGCTTCCTTTCTTAGGATGACAATGCTTTCTCAATTCAACTGCAGCGTTGTCACTCTGTCCGGCACCGTTCATAAGCTGGATGACAAGCAGCCGTACTGACACATAAACCACCATAAAACTGTGCTGTTCAGCCAGCGCCTTGAGTGAATGCGTCCACAGGAAATTCATACCTACAGTCTACAGGATGTGTACAGCACAGGGAGAGAAAACATGAATGAACTTGAAAGGATGAGAAAGGAAAAACCTTGACTAGAATACAAATAAATGCATGGGGTATGCCGCTGTAATGGATCGTTGGTGTGTCAGGCTGTCCTCGAAATGCATTGACTTCTTTTCATATGCAATAAAAGTTTACTGGACTCCTATCAATAATATCCTAAGCTCCTCGGCTCCATCTAGTAGCCTAGTGTACTGCAAACCCCAAAATTAGACATTTGAAGAACTGTTCACTCTGCAAACGTTTTATAAATACATCCCTTAATGTATGGCCATGACTGCCCAGATTTCCATAATGTCCATCATGAAATATTATTATACTTACTATCTCTGCCATAGTCTACAACTTTCACAAACAAGAGGGAGCCTTCTTCTAAACTTCCATACATCTACAGAGCATTACGACCAGGCTGATAAGGTTAACATCAAAGTGTGGATAAAATCGCTGTAAAAAGAAAAAAAAAGGAAGAAAATATTAAAATTCCAACATTTCAAAAGAATTAAATCATTTCTATGTGTGCGATATGCAGAATAGGAAAGAATGTCTAAATCAGCGATATCCTGCTTTCCTTTAAATGGCTGAGCCACTAACATCAATGTCATATCATGCATCTAAGCATTTAAATCAAATGTTGAAATAAGTGTGCATGATTCTTCTTCTAGCACTAAACCAGCCTTTGCTGCAACACTCCTCTTCAATCCACAAATTCCCCCC